GTTGRYTKAYTTMYTTYMTTKKYTATTTGCTYGTTTRCTAGTTTTTGTTAGAYAATTGGCTCATCAAACATTAGAACATCAATCACCATTGAAACRATTGATGTATATTTACTTGGTYAAGCTATTTGGCCGCCCAACGATTTATTTGATGATCTTGGCCATTTAGACTAGCCAACCTCCAATCCCTGTATCCTGTCCAACAACCCCGTCTAACTCAATGTTCTTTTCTTTTGTAAAGCTAAAGCGAATGCAAGAAATGATTGCAAAAATGCAGGCACARATGAAGGCAAAGAGCTAGCATTATCAACAAACCATGACAAAGGCCAGGAACATTTGATAATCASCAATTTTATCATTAAACCATTTTAATCTTGTAAATGTTTTAACAAAGCTTCCATGAATAACAGTCCAGTAATGCATAACATTTTTAGCTTGTGAACCCTTGTTATATTCGATTTTTCAAATAATCCTGAGTATCAGAATGTTTTTGAGTTTAAGTTAAGACCATTCTTGTCAGGATCCACCAAATCAAAGCTAGTATAAAATGTCCCCTAAAACAAATAGTTCATTTAAAAGCAATAAAGACCCTAGAAGATAAGAAAGTTCGAATTACAATCTGCGGAGCTATGAATATATCAAATATTAAAGAGAAGTTACACTGACTACCATACATTTTCTTTAATTAAAAAAAAAATAAAATCGCAATGGATTTCCTAAGGAACCTCCATAATTTTTGCAGAAGTATTTCAAGGCCAGTTTTCTTCAAAGCCAGGGTCAAGGTTAGCGCTAATCCAGGGTTAACTCTAAAAAACTCTATGGAGTTAACCTTGGATTAACTCTAATTCCAGAATTCATTTTGACATGGTTTGAAATGTGTGCTAGTGAGCAGTGTTCATTTGCAGAAGGGTCTATTGACCTGGTTTTGTGTTAAAAAAAAACACCCCAGTACTTACAATTTTTGATAAATTGTTATATGGCCTCATTTCACACCATATATGTTCACACGAATAGAATGTACACATTTTATTGAGACAATAAAGTTTATTAAAATGTTAAAAACTCAACAGGTTGAGAACTTGTCTCGGACATCACTACATGTTCAGGATTTAACCGTATTTAGCAAGAAAATCCTCCCATTCCTGCTTATTGCAGAAAACGCAAAGCAGTTGAGGTGTGCCAGTTCCTGAAAATGTAAAAAAATTGTCTACGAGATTATCAACACTTTGATAGTATGCCAACTTTGTCCCGCGGGTACATATATTATAGCCGAAGTACTTCTC